TGACTCATTCGGAGTGACTGGTTTTAACTGAAATGCACTGTATAACAACTTGAACTAATGACAAATACACAGAATAGTCAACATATAAAAAATGGATGTGCTTCAAACGAGTCCATTCAAATCTCATTTTCTCAAACAACGATTATTCTTCTACGTTCTGATACCTACTCTAAGACTCCTATTTGGCGTTCACGCCCGGAAATTTGTTTTTTCAGCGGACCAACTAGATAAATTACCGACCGGGGCGGTTTAGAAAATAATGAGAAACCGGGTTTTTGGTCCCATGTGATGCCCGTTAGCAATGCTTTCCACCCAAAACAGCACAGTTGAACGTTCTCCTTGTTCATTTGCTAATCATACTGATTTATGGCCTATAAGGTTTGTAATTTACATTTTATGTTATACATAAATAACTACAGTGTATGGTAAATTGTGAATTATTCTCGAATTGATCGTGCCTGTTTCGTGTTTTTCGCCTAAAATAGAACAATATCGATGCCATTCGGAATTTACATGCAGAAATTGTTGTGATCCATTGTTGAACCAACTACGAATTCACAGATTGAAACGGGTCAGAGCATCTCACTCTTCTTCATTTTCATCATGAGCGTTCATTATCGAATTGGCAGGTATTTTGTGCGTTATTTTCGTTATTAACTGTTTGAACTAGATGAGGGCAAAAATATTAGATGGACTGAAAACTTCGTAAGCTAAAACACATGGCTCTTCTATTTATTTTATTTATTTATTGATTATCCGTTTGACATATAAGTATGTATAGGATTTGTCCAGCAATGAAGAACACATGAAAAAAGCAGTGTCTGTATCAATATAAAAACAATCTAAAATTAACACATAATATAAAATACAATACAAAAGAAAACTATTTTATGATATAAAAAATTCGTCTAGGTTATAAAAACAACTATCAATTAAATACTTCTTCAAATTTCGGGTGAATTCATTAATTTTATCGAACTCCTTAACTCAATAACTTATCAAAGATATTTGGACCCATCACATAAGGTGAATTAGAAGTAACCTTATATTTACAATACGGTATGTGGAAGTTATATTTTTGACGAGTATTCCTACTATGTATGATTTCATTGGTAATAAATTTATGTTTTTTATATACATGCTGACAAGAGTTGAAATGTTAAATTGTCTAAATAAACTTCTGCAAGAGGCCCTTTTTGAGACTTTGGCCATTATTCTCAAAATATACTTCTGCGCAACGAATACATTTGATATCGAAGTCGAGTTACCCCACATACATATGCCATGTCTCAGTCTGGAAGCTCCTTGAGCATGGTATAGTGCCAAAAGTTGCTGATCTGTCAAGATATCTGTTAGGTTTCTAAAGAGATAACCTAATGAGTCAATTTTACTCGTTGAAATCGAACAGAGTTGTTTCCATGTCAAACATGCATCAATGGTAGTTCCCAAAAAATTTGTCTCTTCTTTTCCCAAAATTGACATGTTCTTAATTTGAAATTGAATAGGCACGTAGTCTTTTTGTCGATTGTGAAATCTAATCAATTGTGTTTTGTTAGCATTGAGATAGAGAGAATTAGCTCCGCATTTGTATAAAAGTGAGTTTTCCATCCATGTCAGATACTATTAAAGACGTATCGTCGGCATACATTGTTAAAGAAGTATTCCTAATATGTGATTCCGAATCATTTGTATATAAAAGGAACAATATGGGCCCTAATACCGATCTTTGCGGAACACCCATTGAAATATTTAACAAACTTGAATTACATTTATCATAAGTACTCGTACTGTGGTTACTAATTGTAACATATTGTTGCCAATTTTTAAAAAATGATGAAATCCAGAAATGTGCTACGCCACGAATGCCGTATGAGTGTAACTTTGACAACAAAGCATTGTGATTGACGCAGTCGAATGCCCTGCTGAGATCACAAAAAATCCCAACAGGACACTCGTCTGCCTCCAAATATTCAAACAGTGTATCGAAAAAAAAATTACTGCAGTTTTGGTAGATCTATGTACTCGAAAACCGTGTTGATGATCTGTCAAGAGGTTGAGCCTATTTAAGAAATCCAAAAGTCTATCAAGATATGAGTGTTCAAAAAATTTTGAAAAACCCGATGTGATGGTGACTAGTATTGAATACGTATGATAAATGATTTTAGATGACGCAAAATAAAATTGATCGGGATATCTAAGGCTCTAAAGATATCAAAGGTATGTGTTGGACATATCGTGCATGAATATTTAAGTATTCGAAAGCTCTGTTCAAAGTAAGTGTCGCACAAGCTCACAACCGACCAAAAACCGCAATTAATTGATAATTCTGAGCAGTGTTTGAAGCTGTTCCACCCTGATAAACCTGAATTCATGCGTCGATATGCGACAATGACTGAAACATGGCTCACCAGAATCAAAACCATCGTCACCTGAGTGGACTGCACGTCGTGAACCTACTCCAAATATGCAACAGTCGGTTGGTAAGCTTCGGCATCCACCGTATTCTCCAGATCTGGCCCCCAGTGACTTTTTCCTGTTTTCATACCTCAAACGAATACTACAATTTCAAGTACCTGAATTTCAAGTACCTGATTTTTTACCATGTTTGTAATGAATTAAATTACCTGAGCTTATGTTCCATTTTCCACATTTGAAAACATATTTAGTAACGGAGAGTTATTCAATACTAATTGATCCTTCAGTAAATTACCTGTATTCCTGAATCTATTGATTTCTAAACATTCTAGAAGATTGAGTTTCAAACTCTTCTCTTTTAAATGTAACACATCGTATTCATGATTGAACTCATGTCCTTTTGCTAAAAGGTGGTTTGCAAATATGGAATTGGTCTTTCTATTTACAAAACTACTTCTATGCTCTTTAATTCTTTGGGAAAATGTTCTTCCTGTTTGGCCAATATACAGTTTCGAACAAGAGCCACAAGTCAGCCTATATACTCCTGATCTATCCGACACCGAAGTTTTGTCTTTATTGTTTTTAATAAATTTACTTAGATTATTATTCGTTCTGTGAGCTACGTTTACCCCTTCTTTCATCAAAAAACGGGCAATATTCCTGGTTGGTTCACCCAGATATGCCAATGTCCTATAACCGTCAAATTCAGCTCTTTCTGGAAATCCCTATCAATAATCTGTGTAGCATACTATTGAATGCAGCAACTTTATGCTGGTAAGGGTATGTGAAGGAATTATGTATGATAATGTCCGTGTACGATGGTTTGTAGAAAATTGCAAATTCATGTTTATTGTTATTTTTCGTAATGGTTGAGTCAAGGCGATTTATTGAATTATTGTCCTAAAGACAAATCATACTATAAAATATATATAACTTTTTTTCCCATGTTAGTCTATGAAAATTTCGGCCCAACTGTTAAAAAGTCATAATCAAGAGTATATTCCATGGTTTTTCAATATTTTTCATTTGATGAATTTAGTAGTTGAATTCAAAAAGTAATAGTGCCTAAACTATGTCAAAAGATATAGGTTCCAATGAAATAAAAAATACTAATTTCAATCAACTGGTAAAATATCCTTCATTGAAACAACTAATTTTTTCCTAGTCGAGAAAGCAACATACTGAATCGTTAAACTACCGTGTTTCAAAAATTATTTTCACGTTGTATTCATTAGAGAAAAGCACCTCCGTACATTTGCCAAGATTTTGAGCATGATCTCACGATGTAATTGTCAAATAAAACATAACCTAACTGAATTTAGTCGA